ATAAACTTTAAAAAGTAACATAATAGCCATGATTATGCAAGGATGTTAAGAATTTAGGACTTTCCTGGATTACTATTTATTTTTACTCTTTGATTGGCTAGACAGTGAACTTGGCTTGACATAAAAGAATGTCTAACCATCCAAAAATATTTTAATATTATTTTCTATTATACATTTTCCTTTGTTATACATCATGTTTCCATTTCTGTAATGGCAGTATACTGTCTGTATCAAATCTCTTTTGAATAGACATATTATACACCATAATTGTAGCTATTATTCTCATAATATATACAATATAATCTTCACTTCTAGTTGCTCTATAAAATTTAATGTAATCAAATGTGATCCAATGATAATAATGCTTATAATGTTATGCTTACATATATCTATATATAGATTTACCTCTATTTTATTAATCATCCTTAATTATAAATTTACTAACTTCTGCTTCTGTTTTCTAACCATTTATAAAATAAGTCCCATGTTTAATAATACTCTGTTTCTTCTTTGTCCTTAATTTCCATCGTTAATTTATCCATTTTGGCACAGTCTAGTATTTTCTTTATTACATTTTCCTCTACAGGTATACTTTCATTTTTCCAGTTTTGTGCATATATAATTCTCACTACCGTTATTACATGTAATATTAAATATATAATTCTTTTGTTGTATTTCCCCAGTAGTATAGCTAGTAGGAACAATTCTGGTTTTAAATCTATTTGTTGTGCTATCATTTCTTCTAACCACCTTTTTATCTTTAACCAATATTTTTTTGCCATTGGACAAGTCTACCACTTATGGTAATAGGACCCCAGTATCTTTTTACATTTCCAGCACTCTGGCAATACATTTTGGAACATTTTTGCCATTCTTGCTGGTGGCAAATGTCATCTGTAAAACATTTTGTAAAGATTTTCTTTGTATGCTGTTGACTTCGTTAATTAGTTGTTTCTTTCCCAAAGTTTTTGTCAGTTGTCATCCAAAAATATTTTATACACATCATATTGAGGGATGAGAGCCAGTTTGATGTAGCAGTAAAGGCACCAGGCCAGAAACCAGGAGACTATAAGTTCTATTCTTTCTTGAGAGTTTATGCACCAGAGACAAATTCCTTCTGTGTCCAATCACACTTGGCCAATAAAGAATATTCCATTCCATTCTCTCAGCCTACTGGGTGATCTTGGGCCAATCATTCTATTTCAGATCTGGGAAGGAGGCAATGGGAAACTACTTCCAAAAATGTTGTCAAATAAAACACAGGGACTGGTCACATTGTCACCAGGAGTCAAAGGCTTTTTCTAAGGCTAAATAGGGATATTAGCTTGTTCTATCTTTTAAATAATTACATGAAAATCGTGAAGAACTGGAGTCAAGGGATTTTTCCCTTTCTAGTACCATCCCAGAAAAGAATTACATGCTTTTTTTGGATTCCTCCAGAGGAAGCCTTGCAAATTGGTGACAAGGCTAATAATAAACATCACAACATGGAAAAGGAATGAGTCCTAAAACTATGATATTTGATTGCACTGTTTAAGTATCAATTTTCCATGAATGTAGTGTGTGTGTGTGTGTGTGTGTGTGTGTGTGTGTGTGTATTGTGAGCTGCAGAGAATATTTTTTTTTCCACCATAAAATATATTGCAGATGTTCTGGAGGATAATATGGCAAGAGGCTTAACTCTGAATGCAAGCTGAAATGGACTTCATCTGTGTAGATAAAACAATGTCTGCTAACATAAGAGAACTTTCTGGCCCATACATCCACACTTTTCTCCTACAGAGTTCTGAATAATGTTTGTAAAATCTTCTCTGGAGATTACACCAATTCCCTGAAGCAGCCCAGCTGAATTGGAATAGACAGACTTGAAGAATCTAAGTAATAAACTATTAATACCTAATGTACTAAAATGGTTGTACTGACAGAATTACAGAAGTCTTTCTGGACTAAGATTTCACTTGATTTGGGAGATTTGGACTCCAAAATATCAAGGGAGGGGTGGGACAAATACATGCAACCCCAATATATTATTTAAATGTGAGGAGCGTTTGTTCAACTTTACATGTCATTTTGCAGCTATTTTGATTTTATATATTGTAGTTAGGCAGATTGGGAACTAAAGTACACACTAGGAGTTAATTTATCAATTAATAATTTTGATAATCATAGCTTGCAAACATTCAGGTTTAACATTTTAAAAATCATATAAATGAAAAATATACATGAAAATAATATCATAGGCAGGTTAAAATGTAAAACTGAAACTGCATACAAAATAGCTTTAAATTACTTTAGAGATCTTGTTCTCTAAAATGTTGTAGTCTCAACCTAAGTGAGATTTTTTTTTTTTTCTGAAGCTGTTCCAACAATCTGATTTCCTTGAAGGTATTTCTAACAATAGATCTGAATGGGAGAACAGGGTGTGGCCTGAAGGACCTAAACCATTCAGGGCCTTAATTATCAGCTACAATTTAAATTGGGATGAAACAAGTAGGAAGTCATGCAGCTGTTGAAACAAGGTTGAATTTCCTGTATACAGCCAGGCTGAGCCAGAAATTTAATTTTCTAAAGGTGTTCAAAGGCATGCCTCTATAAAGGGCATTATAACAGGCTACATGTGTTAAAGAAGGCATATATTGCTCTTGCAATATTAGTTATCCATTGCACAAAAGAGTTATCCATTGCACAAAACTTAACTTGACCATAGCCAAGTTCTAAACAAGTAGATTCAAGAATTCCCAAATTCTACACCTTCATTTTCAATAATATCTAAGTGACCCCTTGATTTCAGGTCAGTGCTGTTGGATAATTATACTTCTGATTAGTCAAGATTTAGTTTCATGTTGCTGTTCAGACTAAAACCATTGTCATTTTCTAGCAACAGTTTAAATCTAGAAAAGTCTCCTTGAATGGAATGGAAAGTAGAGATTGGCAAGTAGCATTCATGGTTTTTGAAGTGCTGAAACCCTGAATCACTTTCCCCACTCCATGTGGCTTGTGTGTTCAGTGTGTTCAAGTTGCATGTTAAAACATGCGTGGTAGTGTCTAACTTTGGAACCTTTTGGTAATGCTCGTTGGACCTTGTATGTGTGTTTCTTTTTGGCAGAGTTGAAGACTTGCATGTTCCAGGAACTTTTAGAAGCGTTGTGTGTTCACTTATTCCATGGCATATTTTGAAAGCTGTGCTGCTCCTTTAAGGAAGATGGTTTTTATTCCAATTTTAAACAATTGTTAACTTCTTAAGAACTCAGGATGATCAGGGTAAAAATTCAATATTAAAAGAATGTTCTCCTTGAAGATAACATCTTTCTTTTTAACTGTTGGAAACAATAAGTAAGAATTGTATCTCCAGTATGACTTTAGGCTCACACAGCTGTTCTTTAAGGAGGCCAGCACATGTAGCCATTTCTTTTAAATATGTGCTTTTGGCAAAATTCCACAAATCAGTAAAAACAGTGGTGTTTTGTAAGGGGTGTGTATATATAAGGATTTAAAACAAGTTAAAGACAATGATTTTTTAAAGTTATGCCAGAAACATGTTAAATATTTTTTTACAAAATACGTATTTCATTTATTATAATCACCATCAATGTTCCATATTCAGTATAGTTATTATCATCTAAATACCAACCCTTTAAAATTAGCATTCCAAGTGGGTTCATAGACTCAGTTGTGTAAACAAATTACTCACTTTTTCAAAACTGGTAATAGGTTTAATGTAACGTATTTCTGTGAGAATGTAAGTCAAAATTTTGATTGTATTAATCATAAAGTGAAGTTTTTCAAGCAATAACTTTCTTAACACGTCTGTCTGAATTGCAATCTTGTCTATACAAGTTAGAGTTGTGTAAATTTAGCAGATGTAAACCATATCAACAGCTGTATCACAAAATTAGCTTAATTTGAGCATATATTTTTTTGTCAACTATCTTCACTACCAGCGATTTGGCTGAGTTTATATTGTCCTGTTTGCATTATTTTACTGCCACAGCTAGAAAACAGTTTAGGTCTATTGGTTTCATCTTTATGAAACATTAAAAATTTAATGTCTCTGTATATGTTACTTCTTTTTTTTTTTCAATTTAAGAGCTGCTCTAGTAAATTCTTTACCACTTTTTTTAGTATTTCAACAAAATGTATTTTTTGAATCTCCTTCGGTTTTGTTCATCATCTCAATATTTTTTTTTATTTCTACTATAATTTATTAACATTGTTATGTCTTAACCACTTATTGCATTTATAGTGCTCGGGCAGGTGAAAGCCAACATACTTATTGCATCATTACATGTGTATTCATCTAGCCATCAAGCTTCTGAATGTTTTACACTCTTCCCTTTATTTGTATCTCACCAGATTCAATCAATATTATCCCCACAAGAATGTTCTGATATTGGTCCAAACTTAAGTCATTAAATGGCAAAGTGAGGGCTATATCTAAAGATACTAAATATATGTTACACTGCCTGTAAAATTAGACATTCTGACTTTTCAACCATTGTAACATTCTTACTCTGTTTTGCTATCTAAGTTTAACATGTGTTATTTTGAACTCTGGTTTATGACTGTAATAAGCACTATTTTATTTCTCACGCCCCCTCCCGCAATTTATATATAATTACTCCTGTTTTGTATAACCACTATGTGTTGATCATCATAGGCATTTTAAAAAGGGATCACAGATATTGGGGAATGGTCAGGATGATACAATACTTTTAAATCCAAATGATTTGTGACATAAGTACTATTGTGGCCAAAAAAGAGCTGATGATCAATGCCATTTTTCTAAATTAGGAGTAGTATTCCCTTTATGTAATAGTATGCTTCAGTTCATAGTGGACTGGTTGACCGTGGTTGAGGGTTTAAAATACAAACAAGAATTCTTGTTTTAAAGGTATACACATCTTTAGACAACATACCTAAGTTGTACATTGCTGGCATCATTTGGGATTCCCATAATTAAAAAAAAACTCATGAAGTTCTTTGTGTTCTTTTTTACATAGGGAAACAGAAACAGCTGGAGGCAGAACACCAAGAGATGTATGTGGAAGCTGACCACAACCTTCACTTGTGCACAAGCCGGTCATCACAGCCCCCAGCTGAGAAGCCCGGTGAGAGAAGAATGGCTGAAATGAGAAAGCTCTATGGCAAAGGTGCCAACAAAATACAAGCAATGGAGACCACCATGCAACTCAACTTTGATAGGAATTGTGACACAAAACAGCCCAAGTACTGGCCAATTATTTCTCTGAAACTCTGAGTTATGTGCCTCTTTCCTTTTTTGGAGATTCAGAGTTGTATATCCTGATGTTCAACCAAGTAGAAGGATTAAGGGAATGAATCAAGAGTCAGCAAAAGACCTTTTTAATTTTCCTTTCCCCTTTCCAGCACAACTTTGAATTTGTCTGCCAATTTCCAGAGTCTATTCCAACTCAACAGGAAAAGCTGAATCAGTCATTTGTACAGGGGATAAGGAAAACTCTCTTTTAAAGGGTATTTCAACTAATTTAATCTTGGCATGTGTTAGCCTTGTAGGAAATGATGTAACATTTGTTTTTGTTCACTTGAGTTAGGGAAAAGGCTAAAAACTATCAAAATTCAAACATTTTTTAAAATTGTTTTTAGTGCTATGCAGGTTTTGATGTAGAACTTTAAATGCAGCTATTTTTTGCAACCATTTATTTTCTAGGAGGCACCTATATTAATTAGACAAAATATCTTAAATTACTGTAATTTGGTTTTTGAGATTGGGTTGAACTGCATGTAGAGAAAGTTTCTCCAAAATGAAAAGTTCGGCTTTAGGATTTTAAGTCAGAAGCAAGCATTGTTTACTTTCACAGAACTAACAGAACAAAAAAAAAACCAATCAGATTAAAATAAACATTTTTATTTATTTTGAAGTTGTATTTAACCAATCAGGAAGAAAAATAAATTAGGCATGGGGTGGAGAAGGAAAGGGGTCATATGTGTGTGCATGTGATTCTTGTCATAGATATAGTGGAACAAAGTTTTAATTCTAATCAAGCCACATTCATTTCCCCTCCATGGCTACTGACTTTTCTCTCTTGTCTTACTTAGCTGTAGAAACTCAAAATCCATTTTTAGAAAGGTGGTTCAAAACTAACATTCCTGTTAACTGAGAAAGAGGCAGTTATACATATGCATAAATAAATATGCTGGCTGATATTTCTGCCTTGTGAATATACATGTTAGGCATTCTATGCAGTGGTGGGATTCAAAATTTACTACCACCTGTTATGTGGGTGTGGCTCTGTGGGTGTGGCTTGGTGCTCATGTGACTGGGTGGGCATGGCGAATTCACCGTCACGGTAAGGTGGGGCGGCACCTTGCTGTGAGTGACATCGAGTTGGCCATGCCCAGTCATATGACCGATGCTGCAGAAACAGGGCAATTGCCTACGTATGTACCTTTCCTCCCCTCTCTGCCCTTGGGCTGACAAAATAAGGAGAAGGAGGAGACTTGACCAGACTTTTCTGCCTCCTGCTGCCCCCTGCTTCGTGCATGCACAAATGGGACAAATAGTGACCATCAGCTGTTTTTTTTACCTTTCTCTGGCTGCACCGAACACGCAATTCAAGCGCACACAGATAACAGCAACACCAACCATCAGCTGTTTCTTGCATCGCCGGGCTTGCCAAACGTGCAATTCGTGTGCGCGCAGATAACAGCAACACTGACCACTAGCTGTTTCTTGCATTGATAGGCACGGGAAATGCGCGATTCGCACGTGTGCAGATAACAGCAACACCAACCATCAGCTGTTTCTTGTATTGCTGGGCATGCCAAACATGATTCGCATGCATGCAGATAACAGCAACATCGACCATTAGCTGTTTCTTCGCTCAACTGAGGTGCGGCAATCTGCTCTGACGCACGAATCAGCTGAGCTAAGAAACAACAAAACAGGAGAGGTAAGAGCGGAGGCAGGTGGGTGGGGCCAATCAAAAATTTTCCCTACCGGTTCTCCGAACCCATCAAAATTTTCCCTACCCGGACACAAGAACCTGTCCAAACCGGCTGAATACCACCCCTGGTTCTATGGTTTTTAAACATTTCCTTTGGATAATCCTTTCCCTGAAACAGTACCTCCATAGACATACTATGCTAGATGTGATTAATTGAAATAAGATATTTGCATCCTTGCCATTCAAATGCTCCCAATTGGTACATCTCCATTCAAAGATCTTCCTTAAAATATATTTAGCAGCTATATTAATAAAAAGCTTATATTTTATCCATTTCTACATTCAGAACAGAACTTCTATACATAGTGCATTTTGAGAACATGCGCCATGATCTCTTTTCCAAGTTTAAGTTTTGTTTTGTGGAAAAAAAAAAAGTTTTATTCAAGATTTACTTGCATAGATGGCCTTTGCTGCTCATGTATATTTTTCTCTGTAAGTTTTTCTATCCCTCTTCCCACATCATTATAGTTGTGCTTTTAAAGTTGTGTGTATATGTATATGTATGTGTGTGTGTGTGTGTGTGTGTGTGTGTATATATATATATATATATATATATATATATAAATTAGACCCAGGAGATAGGCTTATTCTATTGGAAGGCCTGCTCTCTGCAATGATTGCCCTTAATGGGCCTTCCAAAAGTCAGTAAAAACATGGCTTTTTGCTTGGATCTTAGGACCAGCATGATTGGAATTCCTGTCTGGAATGTGAGTTTCTGGTTACTCTTAAACATCTTGGTTCTTCATTGAAATTGTTTAACTTACGTTGTTTGTATATCACTTGGAGTCACCGTGTTTGAGTTGGACAGTTATATGGATTATTTTAATAAACCAATCAAGATTTCCTATGCCATTGTTTGGATGAATTATTGTAGAACAATTTGCACAATAAAATGTCATTTGGAAGTACTATTGGAATAATTGCTATTGTGAGATTCTCAGCCTTGTTCTGTTATTTGGTAAAAATTCAAAATGGTGTCTGCTTCAAAAAAAATAAGATTTTGGTCAGAGGGTTGTTGTCAAATCTATTGAATTATTTTCAGAAAGTATGCTCTTTAACAGTACAGAATGATTTACCGTATATACTCGAGTATAAGCCGAGTTTTTCAGCACATTTTTTGTGCTGAAACCCCCCCCCCCTCGGCTTATACTCGAGTGACAGATTCCCCTCTGAAAAAAAAATGGTGTGGAGCTCCGGAGCTGGGCAGCCGCTTCCCTGCTTCCGTGTTTCATTTGCAACTTTTAAGCATGGGGGTAATCGGAAGCAGAAAAGTTCTTGCATGAGGATATATTGTTTTTTCTTTTTTTAACTGTTTTTAGGGGGGGGAAAGACCCACCGCCATGTGAGAATGCTCAGACACGAAATCTATCCGCCCGAAAATAAGTGTGTGTGTGTGTGGGGGGTATTTTTAACAGAGGGAAGATGTAGGGAGAAGGCAAAAGCGACGGAAGATCCTTCAGGGGAAACTGAGGGGGAGACTCACCCTTGGTTCAGATGAGCCCCCTTCCCCGCCCCTAAGGAACCAGAGGCAGCCAGCAAGGGCAGGCAAGCCCCACTTCACGGACTCCGTCCGTCCTCGCTCCCACCCACCCACCCAAAGCCATGAAGTCCCCCAATCGCGCAGCCCAGAATCGCCCTCCCCTCAGGGGGCAGCAACGACGCCCGGTGTTTCCCAAGACAAGAAGCTCCGCCGTGCAATGAAAGCGCCCTGGCTCTAGGCTC